CCAAAGTTGATCATCTTCGACCCTAATTTTCGACTGATATCGATTATGCACATCAGCCCAAATAACAGACGGATACTCCATCAGATTCTGCTTCAACTTCTGTTAAGCCACCGAACTACGAACATTGAGTTCTTGGTTGAAAGCTTGAACGACCCAATCATCTACGGTGGGTGGCAGGTCCATCCGTTTCATTTGAAACCTGGACATGAACTCTTTGGGCATCTCATTATCCTTTTGTCTTACTTTGAAAAGGTCTACTTTCTCGTTTCGACCTTGATAGCCCAGGCGTGTGCTTTCATGAAAGAGCCTGCAAGCATAGCAAATGAGCCAATAGAATTAAGAGGTAAGTTGTGATACCATATCATAGCTCCCTTTGACAAGGTCTCTCCAAATTTCTTCAACTAGAAAGACTCGATCTCATCATCCTCCAAGTCGTTTCCTTTGATGGCGCATTTGTAGGAAGTGACATGGTCGTTTAGGTCAGTCGTTCCATTGTACATACGAATCTCGGGCATGCGAAATTTTTTAAGGATTGGATTTGGAGCCGCACTCGGAGGGAAAGGTTTTTGTACGAACTTCTTAGAATCCAAGACTTTCAGTATCGGCGGCGCTCCCGGGATTTGGTCGAATTGTAGGTTTTCACCTTTTTGTCGTTTGCTTCGATTTTCTTCTCCCCTGATTCCATCTGTTTTGTCAGCTCCTCGAGCATTTTTATGATCTCGGGGTCGGGCCCCGACTCATTTTCATTTGACCTCTCTGCAACCGGTTCTTTCCTACAGGAAATTTCCCGGGACGGATCGGGTTCAATTCTGCTCGGTGTCCGGCTTTCGTTCTACAACTGAGCTATCGCCGCTTGTTAAGCCTGTAACATTTTGAAGATCCGTAGATTGATCCCGTCTCCCCCATTGTTTTGAGTATTATACGCTGTCGATCGGGCTCCACCACAGATGTTATTCTCGTGGTTGGTAGGTAGGTTTGTGTTGATAGCCACATGCGAGTTAGCGTCCAATGGGTCCACGATTGGGATCAACGGGCGGTATCTCGTTACCGGACGCAATGTTGTTATTTTTACCGTGGTGACCGGATTCATTGTCAACAGGTAGAGCTGCCAATTGTGAGTTTGACATTTTGAGCTTTAACCTGAAATTAGAGGCACTTCAAAGAACAAGTGTAAAATAGTGTATGTTATGAAATATTTGTATCAAATAACAACTATTATCCTTAGCCCCACGGTGGGCGCCAAATTGTTTACCCTCTAAATCAGATAACAATTGAATTTATATGTGGTTTTAAGAATATGTGGATTAAATTGATACAAAGTGGTAAATTAAATTGCAATTGAAATAAAGTACGATAAAGTAAACTCATACCACACGAATTGAGCAGTTATAGCCTTGGGAGGTGATCCACCATTGAACAGAATGCACTTCGATCAGTGTCAAGACGCAATTGAATAAGAACTTTAAAGAGAAAATAAAAGTATATTGCTTTTGAATGCGTGTCACAATGTGTCTTTACAAGTAATCAGACCCCTTTATAGTAGGGGAGTCCTACTTTAGGTACAATTCTATAAAAGGTAAAAATCTCCTGATTTGCTGATTTGCCGGTTCCTTATTGATACGTGCCGAGATTTCCGCCGTAACACCCGACCGGTCACGAATACTTCGGCCTTCTGTTATTTCGGTCTTCTGTTGGTTATACTGTCAATGTTTCCACGAGCTCGTTCGGGGTCAAGGTCGATTCAGGGATCATGGACTCGATGTTCTTGAAGACGGACATTCTGACCTCGTGTTCTGGTTCGATGGGACTCGGGGTCGATAATCAATCCCTCACGTTCCGAGCCCGATCTGTCATGTAGTGGATGAGCCCGATTTCGATCGTAAACAAGGAGCACGAGAAAACTGTTGAGTGTGTGGCCTTTTGAGAAAACTGTTCGGGCTTCATCCAAAACCCAAAAACTACTCCATATATCAACTAGGAGTACAGTTACCAACCATCAGGAAGTAATTGAGGCTACTTCAGAATCAGAAGCGAAAAGCATATGTTGGAAGTATAAGACCAGTTAAGCGGATGAGTCAGTGCTAATCTTGCAGGGATTGCTAAAGTGTTCGATGTTAACATGTTTGATCCTCAAGAGGTTTCAGCAATTGGCTTTGCCTTGGCGACGATGCTATGAAGTGAGGGAAGCAGTGGAACCTCGAGAGCAGCTAGGAAATATTGCAAGTGATTAAGTGAAACCATTTTGAAGTTTCCTAATAAGGTTTGCCATTCCTTGAGATTATGCAAAATCTATTCAAATCTGGAAGAATATAGTTGAAAGATATCTCATATTTAGAATTTAATTAGGGGTGGCAATTGGGCGGGTTGGGCTGAATTTGGGCGGGTCAAGATGGGTTAGGTCGATAAATGGGTCATTGCCCAATCCAGCCCAAAGTCTACTTGAGCTAAGATGGGCTGGGTAAAGATGGGCTAAACAATGGGTCATAATCCAACCCGCCCAACTTGACCCATGTTTTAGAACCATGCTCATCTTGCATTAAAAAAACTTTTACCTTAAAATGTGTAAGTTAACAAATATTTTGTGGGTGAGGGTGGGGGGTTGGGGTGAGTGGGTGGTGCGGAAAGCGAAAAAACAGAAAATAGAAAATTGAAATTAAAAAAAAAGGGGCTAGGTAAAGATGGGCTAAACAATGGGTCATAACCCAACCTGCCCAACTTGACCCATGTTTTAGAACCATTCTCATCTTGCATTAAAAAATCTTTTACCTTAAAATATGTAAGTTAAAAAATATTTTACGGGTGAGGGTGGGGGGGGGTTGGGGTGGGTGGGTGGTGCGGAGTAAAGAAAAAATAAAGAAACAAAAAATTGAAATTAAAAAAAAAATAAAAATTTTTTTTTTGAGGGGGGGGTTTGCGTGGGAGGGGGTAGAGGGTAGGTGGTGCAAAAAAACAAAAAACAGAAAATTGAAAATACAAAAAGAAAAAGTAAAAAAAATTCTTGAGGGGGTTTGCGGGGGAGGGGGGGGTGCAGAATAATAAAAAAATTGAAAATTGAAAACACAAAAAAAAAAGTAAAAAAACTTTTTTTGAGGGGGTTTGCCCTGAGGGGGGAGGGTGTGTGGATGGTGCAGAAGAACAAAAAAACAGAAAATTGAAAATACAAAAAAAAGAAAAAAAATTTAGGGGTTTTGCGGGGGGAGGGGGGGTTAGGATGGGGGAGGGGGTGATGCAGAAAAACAAAAAACAGAAAATTGAAAATACAAAAAAAATATATATATAATTGGGGCAACTAAGTAAATTTCTAGATAAGTTAGGTTGAGATCCCTTTGTTTTGGGTGAGTTTCATAGGTTGTATTTGGGCAGCTTTATGGGTCAAAATGAGCTATAAAAAATAATGGGTTAACTTGGGCTCAGCCCAAATTGACCCATGAGTTAAAATCTTTTTAACCCAACCCATTAATCTCTGGACGGGTTGGGCGGATTAAATGGGTTTGAGCTCAAATTGTCACCCCTAAATTTAATGGTATGCTTGACCTTCTTTTAGATTTAGAACTTGTGAGCTTTAGTGCTAGATGGTTTCATTGGAGGGTAGATTAGATATTTATATCTATGATGCTCGTTGAGTGTCAAAGAGTCCAGTGCCATGAGAAAAGCTAAAATAAGTAGCCAATGGCTATTGAGAGAATAGGAGAAAGATTTGCAATTCTGTTAGGAGGATATACAAGTTTTGCTAAAGGAAATATCTTCCACTTGAAGGCTCTGAATCACCCATATTATCCACTAAAAAATGGGTTGAATAATGAACTATTTAAAAACGAGTCAAATATGGATAAGAACCATATTATTCATTTAGAAAAAGGATAACCAATGGATAACCAATGGGTCTAACTTTTACATTTGTAAAGCCTCAAATTGGGGGTTCTTTAAGTTGTGGAGACTAACAATTCTCCCAAAAAGTGATCATATGCAATCTTTAATCCGGGTTCACCTTGGCCCTCGCCCTAGAGTTCTTATGAAGACTCTGGTAGTGCATGTGTATGATAGGGCCCCCCATAAGCGCCAAAGATCGGTGATGTTGTCATGATAAGTGTGGGAAGTCGATAGTGTACTCGATGATTGAAGGACCTATCGACTTGCATTAACTTCCCGTGGCTAGTAGGGGGAACTTTAATGTAATTGCGGATCCATTAGAAAAAACTTGGGAGTCGGCCTCCTGACTTAGAATAAAGAATGAGATAGTCTATATCCTGTATCGATCATAGGATCACTCTATGAATAGGTCAATTCTCTGTGACCTCCCACCGTTCACGACATCCCTTGCTTCTCGCAAGAACGGCTCCTCGGTGGAGGAGTAGAAGCGCTGGTCCCCTTCGGTCAACTTGCTTGTGCCTGTTGTTACCTACCGTAGGACCTCCGTCCCCGAAGCGAAGAAAGAGGAGCAGGATAATATGGTTGGTTAACTCGTTTTTTATCCGTATTAAATATGGGTCGGGTCGGATAATTTATCCGTTTTTTCATTACCCATTTTCGACCCGAACCATATCCGATCCGACCCGCCCGTTTGCCACTCCTAGAAGTGTGTAGCTTAAAATCTCCTAAGATATAATCAGTAATCTTTTTTCGCTGAATGGATAGGAAATCATGATGAATTGTTGTTTTTTATGCTCCATCCACAAAATGAGGTATCTACTCAAATTCATCAGCTAGTTTCTTAGTCTATGGTATGGAGGTTCTTTCTCATTGTTTGAGCGGTTTATGCTTTATGCGAAGCTTTCTAGTAATTCTTAATCAAGAGTTAGTTGGTAATTGGAGGCATTTGTATTATGGCTATTCTTCCCTTATTACTGTTTCCTTTTGACCTCAGATCTTTACCAAGTTATGTTTTTCGAACTGATTTACTATAAATATGTTTGTAGCTTCAGCTGGTTTGGTATCACTTGGTCCAATGTAAAGATGAAGTATGATGGTGCTAGAAAATAAGATATGCAGATGTTACAGACTCATGGTTGACAATTTTAGCACACTTTTAATAAAGCAACTCCAAATACTCCTTCAACAAAAGGGGGTCCTTGAGGATGGACACAAGCAGTGAAATCCTCAAGGACGAAAAAGCCAAGAAAAATGTTGGAAAAAAGAACACAAGTAGAAAATACATAACAGTTCAACGATAGATGCATAGTTATTGATATCTGTTGCTGTAATGAAGGTAATGTGCTATTAAGATCAGTTCATCTTCCTGCAATTCTTCCTGATCTCTCCGCTGGAACCTGTCAAAGGCGAGATGTTCCCCATCTTAACCATAGACTTGGCAAAGTGCTCGAAGAAAAGCGCATTGTTCTCTGCATATTGTTTCACCAAGGCTAATGATGCTTGACTCTTGGTAGCAAGAACTTGGTCTGAGTTCAGGAGGCCCTTTGAAGCCAACAAGTTCTTGAAGTAGCTGTTATCAAATTTTGTGGGAGAGACAAAGTCCAAGAAAAATAGGTTTTGGTCACCTCCAGATTTTGGGCACCTATTGCGCAATAGGGCAGCATATGATTGATCCAGTGTTGAGTCTGGTTGACTGTTTCCTGATTGGTTGTAGAGCCTTTGCCTGAAGCTGGTACATCTCGAGTTTCCAATTGTGTGGCTCCCTGCATAAGAAATTATTGGTATCAACTATATGGTTTCACGTGTGATTTCTTGTAAAAATGCAGCCCGGTGCACTAAGGTCTATGTGTGGGTTTCTTGGCAGACTGGACTACAAGGGTCTACTGTACACAATCTTATACTGCATTTCTGCAAGAGGCTGTTTCTTACGGCTCGAACCCCGTTACCTCCTGGTCACATGGCAGCAACTTTACCAGTTACGCCAAGGCTCCCCTTCTCACGTGTAATTACTTGTCCGGATAAAAATAAATTAGCAAGCACAAAAAAAAAAAAAAAAGAGTAACTTTTACCAGATAAAGCTACAAGGTCAACAAGATCAAGTCCTTGTCTCTTGAACTTTGAGAGAATGGTATCAAATGTGTTGTTTGGAGCAGGAATGTTGTTGTTGGAGCCACTTAAACTGGCACTTCTGGAGTCTCTTCTTCCCAATGGAACCTCCCAGTTTGGTCCACCAGCCTGTACAAACAATAAAAGTAAAGTTCATGTTTTTTTTTAAATTTCCTAAAGAGGTACTCAGATCAACTATATATGTGGCTCTACTTACTAATACAGTAGAATCCCTTGCAGCAAGTGCCAATATATCAGCGCAAGAGACAGTTTGAGGACATTCCTTCTCCAGTGCAGATTTAATCTCATCAAGGACTTCAAATCCGCGAGCTGAATTCCTGTTAGGGTTTGATCCTTTTTCTGTTACAATGCCTCTGCTGCTATCCAGAAGCAGAGATGCATCACATCCCTACATGACATGGTGAAATAATCACTCGGCATAAGTTTTTACATCTCTATCAGCATACACACACTTACCTTCCTGATAAGCTATACCGTCCAACTTCTCTATTACAGTCATCCTCTATAAGTTCACCGGCCAAATTTCTTTGGAACCAATTTTCATGTTATATTATAGTATATGTTCTCTATATATTATAGAGAGGTTTGACTTTAATTAAGAAGTTCAAAGCCGCAAAAGCCAAAAGAAAGAAGGCCTTTTTTTTTGGTATATACTCTCAGTATAAAATTAGTAGTGTAACTTTTAGCAAGTCTATTCTTGCATGCTAGTATGCTACTGCACTTCTTATTCAGAGTTTTCCAACATGTAAATTTCTGCCATGTAGAGTTGTTATGCCACAAATATTTATGTACATGTACATTTAACAGGATTTAGACAGCAGACTCAACCAAAGGAGTTGGAGCCTTGTTCAAATGTTACCATCAAAGGATTCACATGCATATGAGAAGTTCAGCATTGCTATAACTAGTAGCATAAAGATTTAGTCACAGGAAATATGTTTTACCTTGACAAAACAGTCGTGGAAATGGAGCCTCAGCAACGAAGCAGCCATTCGGGCTTCTTTAGCAACAGCCTTGGCAACAACAGACTTAACAATTTCTTGTGCTTTTGGGCATGATCGGTAATAATATTGTGGGTATAGGTAACCATTGTTACTCTTAAAAGAGAAACAAATTGGTGCAAAAGCAAGGAGAGCTATGAAAATGAAGAAGCTCATGGACCAAGCCATTTTGAAATTAAGTTCTAAGCACACTTGGTGTAGAAAAGGCTTAATTTGAATATTGAAGAAGGCTAGTTAATTTGCTGTGATGAAATTGAGATGGAATCACTAGTATATATAGTGTGTTCAATGAAAGAAAGCGTTACAAAGGATAAACAAATAAATGGAGTTGGTAGCTTTTTAGTTAGGATTACTACAATTCTTCATAATTTTAATTTGCAAAGCGAAGAAAACTTGTGTTACGTAAATGTTTTTCAACATTAACTCATTTGTTATGTAAGACAGGAGGTGATTACGACTCTTTATCTTTCTACTTGTTGACTTAGTTATTTTTGAACCTTTGTAAAGTTGATAAAGTCTACTTCTAAAGAACAATTCAAAAGGAAATTGAAATGAAAAGAATCAAGGCTTATTAAACAAATAATTCTTGGGAGACAATTGTCAAAGTTCATCTATTTGGTAATCGATTGGATAACGCCATTACTCTGGTCACTCAACTATCCCAAAATTATCACCTAAAGTTACTTTTCTTTCGTTTGTAACAACAAAGTCACTGAACTATGTCTATTGCACTCAGAAGGTCACTCAACTAGATTTTTCAAATTTTGGATTGTCAAATACCTATTTTACCCTCTAAATTATAAACATTTATCTTCTTTTTATTTTTTTAAACTTTTTAATATTATGATTTTCCCTTTTTAATTTACATTATGGACTTACCTATAGAATAAATAAATACTATTATTTATAAATTTAAAAAATAAAAAGTATTTAAGCTTATATAATGCTGGAATAACAAAATAATGAGCATAGTAAAAAAATTAATTAGAATAATTGGTTAGTAATAATAATTTTAGTATTAACAACAAAAATTCAAAAATTTATTTACACAATTCAAAATGAAAGAAAATGAGGTAGGGGTAAGGTCTGCGTACACACTACCCTCCCCAGACCCCATTTATGGGATCAAACTGGGTTTTTTGTTGTTGTTGTTGTAGGATAAAAGAAAATAAAGATTGTAAAATATATATTCCATGCACGTAATATAAAAATATTATTTAAATAAAGGTTATACATTATATATTCTTGAATTATGCTCAATTATATTATTATGTTTATACCAACTTTCCGACGACACAAAGTTATGTCGCCGGAAAGCAGAGGGACTATCTGTATAGGGTAAAATATGCTATGGTAAGTCGTGCATAGAATATATATAATATAATTGAGCATAATTTTCAAGAATATATAATGTATATTGTAAAAATACCTTTATTTAAATAATTATTTTTATATTACGTGCATGGAATATATATTTTACAATCTTTATTTTCTTTTATCCTACAACAACAACAACAAAAAACCCAGTTTGATCCCATAAATGGGGTCTGGGGAGGGTAGTGTGTACGCAGACCTTACCCCTACCTCATTTTCTTTCATTTTGAATTGTGTAAATAAATTTTTGAATTTTTGTTGTTAATACTAAAATTATTATTACTAACCAATTATTCTAATTAATTTTTTTACTATGCTCATTATTTTGTTATTCCAGCATTATATAAGCTTAAATACTTTTTATTTTTTAAATTTATAAATAATAGTATTTATTTATTCTATAGGTAAGTCCATAATGTAAATTAAAAAGGGAAAATCATAATATTAAAAAGTTTAAAAAAATAAAAAGAAGATAAATGTTTATAATTTAGAGGGTAAAATAGGTATTTGACAATCCAAAATTTGAAAAATCTAGTTGAGTGACCTTCTGAGTGCAATAGACATAGTTCACTGACTTTGTTGTTACAAACGAAAGAAAAGTGACTTTAGGAGATAATTTGAAATAGTTGAGTGACCATTTGAGTAATTAACTCTCAAATCGGCCTACAGTCTTCCCCTAATCAATATAGACTTAATTAATTGTAGCTATCATGCTATATGGGAAATCTCTGGTGAAAGTAATAAAAATTAAGCATAAAAGAATGACTTGATCTGGTCAGCCCCACACGCCTTGATTGCTCAAGAGTCAAGCCATGAAATATTTAAAAAAAAGGTAACAAAAGAGTTGATAAAAGCCGCAACTGCTTTGTTGACAATAGAGGACCTCAACATTATTTGACCTGATTACTCTATGTCCTATATACACAAGCCTTTGTTGTTCTTTATACATAGAACAGCTACATAAAATTAAGTAACTTAAGGTTTTTGATTAACGTAAGTAATCTGAATAATACTTACGCTAAGAAATATTCAACTCTTGCGCTAAATTTTATTATTGCAATCCACTGATTGAGCTTTGTAAACCTGTAAATGAATGTTGGAAGACAAATTTTAGTTATGCTTTTCCGGTGTAGTTTGAGCTATGCTAATGCACAGTTTCTTCTCAATTAATAGAAATGGCAATCCGCGTTTACTGCTTGCTAGTTATACTATAATTTACTGCTCTCATGCGTTACAGAAGCTACAAATTTGGATAAGGGAATATTAGGTAAATGTGATATTGGTCCAATGAATGACAAAAAAATATTCAGGTAAAAAGGGTTAGGAGAACTGCTCTTCTACATTTTCAAGCATGAACAAAATAATAATCTTTATGCTTCATGTATAGAAAAAAATGCTTTTTACTAAGAATGAGGACAATGTGGGTTGAAGACAATGGCAGAGACGAGATTCAACATCTATTATATATACATAAAAATGACTTTTTGGCCTTGTATATACAATGTGATTTTTTGAGGAAGGATATTTGGATGAATTCCTTTCCGCTTCCCTAGCTCCGCCGATGATTGGCTATATATCTCAATTATGTCATCCTTAGCGAACCGTCTTATGTCCTCTCTGATATACCTGCAAGAGAGCAACTCAAGTAATTAAAACGTGATTTATTCTAAGGTTTGGAAAGCCCAAACTTGCTCCTAGAGTCTCCTTTCTTATGTCTGTAGATCCGCGAATGGCGTTAATCTCTTAAAATAATTTTAAGACTTCTGATCGAGCATAAGATAGGCAGGTTACATCAACGTGCAATCTTAGCTCCAACAGTGCACAATCAAATGACCTTTTGAAATATTAGCAATTATGTGTCAATTTGAAGATCGTTGGGCTCCGTTATATGAATATTTAATATTCGTTGTCGCTTCATTTAGATCTCGTCTCAATTCTATTTTCAATAATTATTTAACTTCTTTAACACTAGAAGTTCTATTTTTTTCCTTCCACTGATTACATGAAAATCTATGACAAGATTAATAGACTCTTACCAAACAATGGACCCAAAGTAAGTTTACCAACATTACTGCACCTTAAACCAACTAATTGTTATAAAAAAAAATTCATGCATTCTACCTATTTTCCACTTAGTATGGACGAATTCGAAGAAATTATAAGTTTTTCGAGACAATTTTCTTCTATGATTTTAGATCTATCTTGTTTCATTTTAACACCTTCGATCACCATGGTTTCACACATCTGAACTGATGTATCTCAACATAGGATATGAGCAAACCATCCCAAATGATCTTCTCTTATTTTATCCTTAATGTGTTCTATTTGTACTTTTTGCCACATGTAATTATTTTTAATCTTGTATACGGTCCCGATTTTGCTATTCGATAGAGACAAGGGAGTTGCATCGGAGGTAATCTCATGATGAATATGACCCGAGCTCGAAGACGAGGCATAGAGCCTAAAGATCGAAGTGTCCGTTGAGACCGAGGCCAACAACAATCGAGGCTAAGTATGACCAACTTCGAGTGAATTGCAATAAGGGAAAGGCGAGATATCCGTAACCGATCGAAGTTCATGGCGGTAATCTCGGAACAGATCAAATCAAGGGCGGTTATTTGTACCAATCACGGGATTTACTTCCATAATTAGAATTGTACCACAGTTAGAATTCCTCTACTATATAAAGGGGGAGTCCCATCTGTTATACCCCACGTTTTCGTACGTAAAAGTACGCCATAAGTAAATTGATGAAAGCTCGACACAAACGAAACGAACAGGTATGTTGAGGCTATCCCTTATTTCTTTTGGCATGATCCATACGACACAAACGAAACGAACAAATTTACAATTTTCATACATGACTATATTCATAGAAATATTAGAGATGCTTATGTTCTTGATTCCCCGTGTGTCATATTATTCTATCATCTGTTCATGGGTCTCACAAAATACGTAAGTTGATAAAGTTTATTTCGTGATATTAGTTAGAGGCATAATGGTCTTATGACATTCTGAGAGGTTTTATTGGCGTACTTCTCATGCATTGCATTCATTTATACATTTACATTGACCCATGACCAGATGGCGTTATATACGCGTATATATGTATATTATATGTATATGCGATATGAGAAAAGGTTACGGCATTATATACGCACCACCACCTGATTAGCTGGTATACATTGATGATTTTTCCCACAGTGACCGAGATGATATGATGGGATGCCCTTAGAGGCTTGAGGATGTTATGAACACATGTACCTATGCACGACATGACATTCATACGCATATGCATGACACTATAAGTATTTCATAATTTACAAAGTTATCCAGACTTACAGATTGAGTCATTTACTCTATATTTCTTCCATGTCTTTTATGTACTTATTTATGTGCCTTACATACTCGGTACATGATTCGTACTGACGTCCCTTTTGCCTAGGGACGCTGCGTTTCATGCCCGCAGGTCCCGATAGACAGGTCGAGAGTCCTTCAAGTAGTCTATCAGCTCAACGGAAGATGTTGGTGCGCTCCATTTGCTCTGGAGTTGCTTGTTTGGTCAGTATGATTTAGACGCGTGTTGTTTGGTATGGCGGGACCCTGTCCCGAACTTTATGTTAAGTGTGTACTCTTAGAGGCTTGTGGACAGATGTCATGTATACGAATGCTTGTATGGCCTTGCCGGCCTATGTTTTGAGTTTACAAAAGATCGTGTTGGCCTTATAGGCCCGTATATCACATGTATAAGTTTTTATATCAGGTTGGGTCGTCCTATATTGAGTATTCCCCTATTTTTATTCTGGTTAGCCCATGACGGCCTATTTAGACCATTTACCAATGAAAGTACAATAAGAAAGATATGTTATATTGGTACTCGGATA